CACTGAACCACAGGCTTGGAAATGGTTAAAATGGTAAATTTTATGTTATGTATATTTTGTCACAATTTTAAAACTTCAATTGTAAAAAACAAAAACAATTTTAAAATCTTCCCACAAAGAAAATGTCAAGCCCAGGTGACTTAATAGATGAGTTCTATCAGACCTTTTTTTTTAATATATTTTCAGTTTTATTTTTAAAAGGCATGCATGACAAAGATTATTACTAAGTCATGTCGTGACTCTACTTGCACTCAACACTTGTTCTTGAGCATCTTTCTTTGTTTTTACGGTTTCAACAAGTTCCTTATATTATTTCAGGTACTCTTTTTCCGTCCTATGAGGCAATGCTTCTGCTATTTTTCCCCCATTTTTCAGGTGTATTTATTGGATAGGTTTTCAAAGCTTGTTGCAAAAGCTTCTGCTTCTCTGTTGTCCAAGAGGTGAAATGTGTGCAGACTTTCAAAAAGCTGTCACCCTGTCAGCTTGAGGTATGACTCCTTGTAGTGCACCATCTTTTTTGATGAAGGTCATGACTTCGGAGGCTCTTTTTTTGCCAACTCCATAAGAAGAATATGTGTTCATGTAGTCAGCAACAGCTTCCTGTGATACTGTGATTTATAAAAAATATATATATTTGGTCATTCCGATGACCAAAATACATTTCTCATATATATTTGGTTTTTATCCATGGTTCCTGGCTCACAGCTCCCAAAAACCTTGCAATTTCCCAAATTATAAGAACAGTGGGAGTATATTTTGTTACAAGATTCAATCTTTTGTCTTCAGTTCTTGAAACTGCTTTTGAGCCGTAAAGGTGAAATGGGTGTCTTGTTATTCATAACAAGCCCTTTTCCACCACAACTGGGTTTACATTATGAGGTGACTTCTGGAAGCACCTAAGGGTGGGGGCTGGTTGCCAGGGGAACCAACCAGGAATGTCCTACCCCCTGATTCTGGGAAGGGGGTGCCTAAAGTTTGAATCAACCACCAATGGACAAGGAGTTGATCAATCATGCCTATGAAATGTAATGAAACCTCCATAAAAACCCAGAAAGATGGGGGTTGGAGAACTTCCGGGTTGGTGAACACAAGGAGATCCTGGGAGAGTGGTGCACTCTGAGAGGGCATGCAAGCTCTGTGCCTTTTCCCCATGCCTTGCCCTATACGTACCTCTTCCATCTGCCTGTTCCTGAGTAGTGTTCTTGTATAATAAACCAGTAATCTAGTAATTGAGTAAAATGCTTTTCTGAGTTCTGTGAACCACTCTAGCAAATTACTGGAACTCAAGGTCTGAGGGTGTCATTGGAACCTCTGATCTACAGCCAGTCAGTCAAAAGCACGTGTGACAACCTGGACTTACTACTGGCATCTGAAGCCCCACTATTGTGGGATTTAACCTGTGGGATGTGATGCTATCTCCAGGTAGATATGTCAAAATTGAGTTAAACTGTAGGACACTCAGTGTCCAAGAATCACTCGTTGGTGTGGGGAACCGCCCCCTCCCCCCTACACACACACACACTAGAACTGGGTCCACAACCCTTACTTCCCATCTTGAATTTGTTCCAGCAAGGAAATTCACAGCTTTGATTAGTAATTGCAGGTCAATTCTCTTCTGACCAGTTTTTACTGCCATTTCCACCTTTGGCAGTTGATGTCTCTCCATTCTTAGATGCTTGTCACATACAAGCCTCAGCTTCTTCTCTCTCTTTTCTATGTTACTCATTTGTTTCTCTTTTTTTTTTTTTTATTAATTTTATTATATTAGTCACCATACATTACATCATTAGTTTTTGATGTAGTTGTTCCATGATTCACTGTTTGTGTATAACACCCAGTGCTCCATGCAATATGTGTCTTCTATCTGTTTTACCAGAGCAGGCTTTCCTATTTCTTTTGTAGATGCTGATGCATTTCATGTAAGTACCTAAGCTTGCTAGTTGGAACATATCTGAAAGTTTTTCCACTTCTTCCTTCCAACCTGCCCCATCTCATTCTCAAAAAAGCAATTCCAGGGGCGCCTGGGTGGCTCAGATGGTTAAGCATCTGCCTTTAGCTCAGGTCATGATCCCAGGGTCCTGGGATCAAGCCCTACATTGGGCTCCTGGCTCAATGGGAAGCCTGCTTCTCCCTCTCCCTCTGCCTCTCCCCCTGCTCATGCTCTCTCTCTCTCTGTATCTCTATGTCTTAAATTAATAAAATCTTTTAAAAAAGAAAAAAGAAAAGCAATTCCAGGTCTCCCATGAATTTTGAAGTTTTTGCCTTTCCCTTCTAATGGCTTTTTTTTTTTTTTCTGGGTATCTTTTCCTTCCTTGACAATAATGCCTATTGACTGACCTCCACTCCCTTCTCCTTAGCAACCCAAGCAGCTTTGGATTCAGCTAATCTTTTTCTTTAGCTTCTGACATCTTCTGTTTTCCTTCTGCACTCACTTTCTTCTCTGTTTCTTTCTTGGCTTTTTCTTTTTAGAATGTGTTTATCCTTGCATCACAACTACATGCATTATCAATTAACGTTCTCATTCAGCTCAGTTCTTTTTTTCTTGGTGCCCTGTTGCTCTGTCTTGTTTTTCAATCCATCTCCTGTCATCATGACATCCTGCTTCTTCATTTAAATACAAAGACTGTCTCCGGGAGTAAAAAATATACCAGAAGGAATAAAATGTCTCTACATCTTCAAATGGTGACTTCATATCACCAAGTTTAGGAGCCTTTTTATTATTTAATGATCTAGAATTGCTTTCAAGCCCTAGGGAAAACACTCTGAAGAAACTGTCCTTTGCCTTACTTTTAGAAGGAACAGACTTATGAAAAGTAAGCTGCATCTCTTAGATTCTCTTATTTTCACTGGGTCAGACATTTCATAAGGTTTCATTATGCCCGTAGTTATGAAGTAGCCATGATCTTCTTTTACTGGGTCACCAGCTTCTTTCAGGGCTGTTTTAACACCACTGCTTTATGAGGAGTTTTGGTCTGTCTCTGTAACTCTGTGTCTTACATGGCCAAGTCCAAGAACCCCATAATGAGCCTGGTTCTTCCAGTCTTCGGGATCAAGTATTTTCAGCATAAGAAACTGTCCTAATGATGCAAGCATGCCAGGTCTGAGACCAGAGACGGGGTCCCACAGGACCAGCCAAGAGGGTCCTTGGCTTCACCCAGGATGGAAATCAAATGTGAACCAGCAGAAGGTGAGAGCAGAGTTTATTGATGATGTAGAGAGAGCAGATACAGACTCAGAAAGTATAGGAGCATGAGTCATCTTTGCTTGGGGTCTGGAGTTTTTATTGGCAATCGTGGTCTGGTGCACGTGTCCTCCTAGGCGTATAGGAACTGGGCAGAACAGGACAGGGTCCAGGTGTCCTTCATAAGTCCTCATTCCCTGAAGCCAGGGGTCTTGGCATTGAGATGTCCAGGGCCAATGGTCTGGAATAGGCACACGATGGCTCTGCCTGGTCATTCCTTAGATATCATCTACTGTGCTGGAAGACTTCAAAGATATCATTATCTCTTTGTCCATTACAAGGAGAACATAAGTAATTTGCATTACAAGGCATGTGTAAAGTGGGGTGAGGGTGCAGGTCCTAGCAAGAACAGAAGCTGGAAAAGAAGCAAAGGGAAGGGAAAAACAGCTTTTTCTCTCATGGGGGTCCCTTGGGTTTCCTCATCTCAGTAACTAATTCTTCATCTTCTGTTCCCTCTCACCACTCTTTTTTATTGCCTGGTTCCAGAGCTCAGAGCATGGTAAAGCCCCATAAATACAGTGCTTCACATCCCAGTTGGAGGGCACTGAGCATCCTTTCTGGCTCTCCCTCCCAGTTCCAGCCTGGTGCCTTGGCTCCCTAAAGCCCAGGGAGCAGCACATGAGGACTGCCAATAACCACTTCCGGATGCAGCCTTCCTGCTGTGGTCATTTCCTGAAGACTTTCAAAAAACAGATCCTTTTAATTTTCTGCAAACTTTTCCATAGAATATAAGAGGGGGGAATACTACCTTCCCCTCCTCCTCCTCCACTGAGGCTGAGACCTTAGTGCCAAAAACACTGACAAGGACAGTATGACAAAGGAAATTTACAGGCTCTCTATCTCTCATGAATATAGTTGCAAAAACTCCTAAATAAAATTGTAGCAACCCAAATTTTAGAGTGTTTAAAAAAATTTTTTTTAAAAATTAGACCATGGAACAGCTGGGTGGCTGTCAGTTAAACATCTGCCTTTGTCTCAGGTCCTGATCCCAGGGTCCTGGGATCAAGTCCCACATTGGGCTCCTTGCTCAGCGGGGAGCCTGCTTCTCCCTCTGCCTCTGCTGCTCCCCCCGCTTGTGTGTGCGTGCTCTCTGACAAATAAATAAATAAAATCTTTAAAAAAAAATTTACACCATGACCCAGAAAGTTTCATTTTAGAAAACCTAAAAATGTCATCTATTACACTAACAGACTGAGAAAAATCTAATAAGCATCTCAATAAATATGTGCAGAAAAACATTTTTTAAAGCCCATTCATAGCTTTAAAAAATATGTCCTAGTAGTAAGACTAAGAGCAGAACTTCCTTAATCTGATCAAAGATGTATTTAAAACCTATGAATACATCAAAATGGGGAAATGTTAGAAATGTCAGAAACATTCTCTTCCAAAAGAAGATCAAAACCAGACGTCAATAATCACCTTGACTATTTAAGAATGCATGTCAGTCCTAGCCAATGCAAAAAGTCAAGAAAATGAAATTAACAGGGGCTGCAGTGAAAGGTGGGGACCAGGGAATATGAGACAGCAAGAGGTGTCCACTATAGGCAGCCATGGAGAAGATGAGAACTAAATTTTACACTAAAGGATCCTGCACTAAATATTAAGGGAAGCCAATAATTTTAATGAGGTCTATTTATAGTCTCGTGCTATTCTTTACAATGTTTTTAACATGTTTTGTGAATGAACAAAGTAAAAAAAAAAAAAAATGGGCCAGGTGGTGAAAGCTTTACTGTATGAAAATAAGAATATCTCTACAAACCTGAATTTTCTTTAATACGAGCGGTGTTTCCTGATCCCATACGTGGACGGTTCCTCCATCAGTAATATATGCTTTACATGCCGTCACCATTTGATTTGTTACCTAAAATAAATACAAGTCCAAAATAGCTATAGGTGAAGAGAGAAATAAAATTTAAGATTTTTAAACCACAAGCATAAAAATATGATAAACAGTAAACTTATGGGAGGAATGAATCACAATATAAAAAACAAAGAAATACACATTCCATCAAAACCAAGACAGCTCAAATTTTTTACTGCATTTAAGTCAACGTCAAAGGGACCATAATTTCCGAAGTCAACTATATTTTCCTTTTGTCTATTTTTCCTCTAACTAGGATCCAAGTGTCATTCTTCACCATCCTTCAACATGCAAACTAAATTTAAAGTTAACCACCTCTCACATACCCCAAAATAGTGAGGGGGGAAAAAACAGTCAGGAGGTTAGATTAAGAGGGCAGGCTGACACACAGAAATTTTGGAGAATTCCTAAAATATAGAAAGCACACAGGATCAAATCTACAAGAGGAAAAAAAAAAATAAAGATGACAGAAAACCAGAACCCCTTCTGGAGAAGGTTACTGTGAAGGTGGAAATCTTTGAGGTGGAGACAATGGGAGGTGGCCCTTGGTTGTGACCCTACACACTGAATTTGGAGCAACTTGTACAGTGGGCAACAATGGCATATGCTGACAGGACAGAGTCATGAGTGTGGACTATGCCCCAGGTAGCTATTGCACCCCAGGAGGACATGTTAGAGAAAAAGCTCTTCACATTCCCTACCTGCCACACCCCCACACATAAGAGACAGACCACAAGAAACAGAACAAGCAGGCAAATTAGGACTTAAATACAAAGATGGGCAGATAACCCAGAATCACCAAACAACTAAAGAAAATAAACATGGTGGGGCGCCTGGGTGGCTCAGTCGGTTAAGCATCAGACTCTTGATTTCAGGTCAGGTCATGCTCTCAGAGTTGTGAGATTGAGCCCCACATTAGGCTCTGTGCTTAGTGGGGAGTCAGCTTGAGAATTCTCTCTCTCCTTCTCCCTCTGCCCCTTCCCCCACTCATACTTTCGCACACTCTCTCTTTCTCTAAATATAAATAAATATATCTTTTT